GATTATGATAGTGAAATCTCAGTTTTGCAGACACTATGCTGAGAGGACCTGGACTCTAAGGAAAGACAATGTCTGATCCCATTTACACCAGGTACATGGAGCAGTCATAATTACAGAGAGCAACGTGCTAGTTTCCAGCCATTGGAGGAGGGGAGGAACATGGAGATGCCATTTCAAAGGACAGAGTGTCATCAGTTTGGGTGATGAAAATGCTCTGGAGGTAGACAGTGCAGTATCCACACAACATAAACTAATGAATGCCATGAACTATACACTTAGAAATAATTAAATTGATTTTTTAATAGTACATATATTTTCTAATAAAAAATTGGGGGAGGGAGAGATGGCTCAGTGGTTAAGAGCACTGGCTGTTCTTGCAGAAGACACAGGCTTGAATCCCAACACCCACATGGTGGCTAACTACCATCTGTAACTCCAGTTCCAGGGGATCCGTGGGTATTGCACACAATGGGTGCACTTACATACATGCAGGCAATAAATACACTCATACACATTTGATAAAAATAATAAAAATGTTAAATTTTTTTAAAAAATTAAATGAAATGGATAAATTCTGATGTATCATGGAATGGAATAGTATATTTCTATGAAAATAAGATATTATGCAAGATAGATTTAAATTGTTTAATCAATAGTTTAAAAATGGTGTGTGCTTGAATATATACATTCAAGTTAAACAAGGATTCCAAATAAATGCAAAGGATAGTTTCACATCCTTAGAACCACAGAAAACACATTTGACAATTTTACAATTCTCAGAAAATTTCAAATGATCCAGACAAATATTTCTTGGATTATGGTGGTCATTAATCCAAAGACGTCCTTGCAGGAAAAGAAGACCCAAAGGCCAGCACAGAGGAGCTGACCACAAAACTGGAGGGATGTGGCCACAGGCCCAGATTGCCTGAAGCCTCCAGAGCGACAACAAAGAAAGGTTCTTCACAGAGCTTCAAGTAGTGTCGCCGGGGCTCTGCTTTAAGCTCCCGAACCACAAGGATCAGGTCATGCTGTTGCAGTGGCCCCAGGAAGCCAGTTCAATAGGAATGTCCTTTTTGCATTTCCCTTATGCATACAAGTGAATATCACTCCAAACAAGGTAGTAGTGGTTTTGCCCACTTTTAAATTATCAGCTGAGTCTTACTTCGTATATTCTATGTGTTTTTACAGTCTTATTTTTAAAACAAATTCATGAAGACTTATACTATTACATGGATAGCAAACTCATTTTACTAATAATTATGCTTAAGTGGTTTCTGATACTTTGCTACTAGAAACCATGAACAGCCTCATGTAAGTCCCCCAGCACACATGTATGTAACTGCGAGACTCTAACAACCTCAACCACAATGGGCTAAGCAGAGCATTTCTACCTCATAGGAAAATTGCTGAGTTACAGGGCATGTTGCCATCTACTTTATAAGGAGCATACTTTTAACAATATTAGAATAGAATTGAGAGGAAATTTTAGATGTTAAAACAGATACTAGGAAAAACCATAGAAAAAAATGATTTAAAAGAAAGTTGGATGCCGAGCATGGTGGCATGTACCTTTAATCCCAGCCCTCAGGAGGGCAGAGGCAGGCAGATCTCTATGAGATGGAGGCCAGCCTGGTCCACATAATTGCTTCTGGATGGACTAGAACTAGGGAGACCCTATCAAAAAAGAATGCTGGTTACTAATCCAAAATTTGACATATCTAAAAAGCTTGATTCCACTTTTGAATACAGACGTAAAAATCATAAATAAAATATAATCAGTTCAAATCTAAACATACATAACAATACACCATTACCATGCTGCCTTTGCTTTGGGGATGCAAGACTGAAAATTCAGGAAAAGAATATATTTTACAAAACGGGTCAAAACATAAAAACACAGAAGTATCTCAAGCAGTACTGAAAAGACACTGATATACTTAGAATCTAGTCCTCTTTTTAAAATAAAAAAAAACTCATGAATCAATATTTGAAATGCAGATTCTGAACATGATTTAAAAAATGGATATTAACTAAAAGAACAAAAAAAGATGACTTTAATCTACTCAGACTAGTTCTGGGATTTCTAGTTTGTATACACAGAAGTATCTCAAGCAGTACTGAAAAGACACTGATATACTTAGAATCTAGTCCTCTTTTTAAAATAAAAAAAAACTCATGAATCAATATTTGAAATGCAGATTCTGAACATGATTTAAAAAATGGATATTAACTAAAAGAACAAAAAAAGATGACTTTAATCTACTCAGACTAGTTCTGGGATTTCTAGTTTGTATACTAAATACTAAAGAGGCATATATTAGAAAAGATACAAAAATAAGAAGAGAGAAAACTTACATTTGCAGAATTTCAAATGGCATCTCACCCTGAAAACACAAGACTAAAACCCTAGTATTATAAAATTACTACTGAATCAGACTGTAGGAAGACAAACAGCATAGCACCTGTCAGTATGTCCGGCAAACACACTTCACCTTATGGCTAGTGTCCTTGGTAGGCTAATGAAGGAGACAGAAGGCTAGCATCAGTGATCGACAATACATGGAAGAAATACCAAGTTTTGACACAGGCAGCCTGGAGAAGTGGCCAGATTAAAGGAAACAGCTGGTTCTACCTCCGCACTCTGAGCATTAACTATAGGGAGTGAAGCTGTCTGGCATGTCCAACTCTTCCCTTTCCCACTCGCTTTCTCCCTTTTCTCTACCAGGGCAGAGGTCGGAATTCAAAAATGCATGCAGAATCTAACATCATTACAGATAAAACCTTCGTGTCTTGTGCCCATATATATAGCATGCTTTTTGCTTCATGCTTACTTTGCATGGAAATCTGTCCAGCTACATATTCACCTATCTACTATCTTCTAAAACCCAAAACGTTACTAAAACAAGAGGCTTTGCCAATCGTGCAGTTAAATGAAAGAATTTACACCACACAGAACATGCTATTTCCAGCAGGCAAGCCATTCCCAAGTGGCTCTTTCCAACAGTGCCACCAGGCAGGAGCAGCCAGACCCCAGCGTTGGCCATGTCTACAGCAGGTCTGCAAGCTGAGGTGGTGAGGTTGCCCCAGAGCCCACGTTGTCCTTGCTGCCCTGCCCTGACTGTACCGCAGGCCATCTCCTCCCTTGTATTATTGTTCATTGTTACCAGTTTTATTTCACAAAACTTAAAAACTGTCACACAACCACTTTTGCCCCTTCTTGAAGTTTTTTTGCAATAAAGCCAAGCTCTTCACAAAGAAGACAGCTAGTACTATTGCCCAGAAGATAGAATAATTGGAATAATTTTATCTCATTTACATAAACAAAAACCAATTGTTTCTACACAATAACATTGATTTGTTAGAAAATACAAAGAGAAAAATGTTTTCTCACATGGTAACCAAGACAATAACAAAAATAATTGCAGTAAAAATTTTGTACAATATAAATGAAAAGAATCACAAGCTTTTATTGAGGTTGCAAAAGGCACTAAATGTTGAGAGATGCACATGGTCTAGGGTAGAAGACCTTAAAGGATGAAGAGGGAAATGTCTGAGAACATCTGATGCTAGGAAATTCCACACAGTTCCTTATGTGGATCTTAGACTCTTAAACTCTCCAAACTAGTAACTAGAATAATGTACCATAGAGAGGAAGACCCGTGAGTAAACAACAGACTCCAAAGCCATCGAGTAAAACAGCCGTAAAACATGAACTTTTTGCATGGCAAAGAAAGGGAAGCTAGGGGCTGGAGCGATGGATCAGAGGTTAGAGCACTGGCTGCTCTTACAAAGGACCCAGGTTCAGTTCCCAGCACCCATGTGCATCTCACAACTGGTTCCAGGGGACCCAATGCCCTCTCTGACCTCCAAGGGCATTGCACACACATGGTACACTTACATGGAGACAAAACACTTATGCACACGTAAAGTAAATAATAAACAACTTTTTGAAAAAGGGAAACTGTGGGAAAATAAGAAAATATAAAAGTGAATGATAAGATATTGTCACATATCAAGCAGAAAGGGTGGATTATATTGGCAAAGTGTTTTGTTTTTTGTTATTAAACTTGTTTCAAAGGGTCTCAAATTCTGTGACAGATTTTTGGTCAAGTTGTTTACATTAAAAAGTCCTTATTTTAGGGGCTGGAGAGATGACTCAGTGGTTAAGAGCACTGGCTGCTTTTCCAGAGGACCTGGGTTTGATTCCAGCACCAACATGGCAGCTAACAACCATCTGTACCTCCAGTTCCAGGGGGTCTGACATCCTTTTCTGGTCTCTTCAGGCTTTAAACAACATTGATGCACTTACATACATGGAGGCAAAACACTCATACAAAAATAAATAATTTTTTAAAATATTGATCTTTAAAAACTAATAAAACTGCCACACACAAAAAAAAATACGCCCCACAAAAAAAAACCCCACAAAATCCTTTCCTTCTGAAGTTTTTATGATGCTTTGATACCATTAACCAGTCTTTTACTATTAAACTTAAATGGATAATTGAGACAAACAGTTGTGAGACCACTATCCTATTGAGTAAGGGGGGGGTGGGGGACGACATGACACCACGACCATGACCACGACCACGACCACGACAACACGGGGGACTGGGACACGGATAGGGACAGGGATGGGGACAGAAGGGATAATGGGCTAATACTCACTTAGCCTTCTGAGCTTTTGGGGAAGTCTTGGTGACCTTGCCAGCTCCAGCACCCTTCTTGTCCATGGCTTTGATGACACCCACAGCAACTGTCTGCATCGTATCACAAACAGCAAAACAACCCAGAGAAGGATAATAAGAGACGCTGTCAACACACATGGGCTTGCCTGGAACCGTATCAACAACAGCTGCATCACCAGATTTCAAGAATTCAGGGCCATCTTCCAGCTTCTTACCAGAACTGTGATCAGTCTTTAAGCCCAGTGAACTTACAAGCTATGTGAACTGTGTGACAGTCCAGTTCAGGGGCACAGCCAGCACTAAGTTAGCCTACGTGGTTCAGGATAATCACCTGAGCAGTGAAGCCAGCTGCTTCCATTGGTGGGTCATTTTTGCTGTCACCAGCAACGTTGCCATGTCGAACATCTTTGACAGACATATTCTTTACATTTAAGCCCACATTGTCCTCAGGAAGATCTTCATTCAAAGCCTCATGGTGCATTTCAACCAGAAATTGGCACAAATGCTACTCTGTCAGGATTGTAGCCAATTGTCTCAATGTAGGTACTGACTTCCTTAACGGTTTTCCTCAGATCTCTTCTGACTACAGGGCAGGTCTGTGACATCCATTTGGTTGACACCAACAATTATCTGTTTCACACTCAATGTGTAAACCTGAAGGGCATGCTCACTGGTCTGCCCATTCTTGAAGATACCAGCATCAAATTCACCAACACCAGCAGCAACAATCAGGACAGCACAGACAGCCTGAGATGTGCCCGTAATCATGCTTTTGAAAAAGTCTCTGTGTCCTGGGGCATCAATGATGGTCACATAGTATTTGCTGGTCTCAAGTTTCCACAGAGAGATGTCAATACTGATGTCACACTCACACTCAGCTTTAAACTGTCACTTGAATGAGGCTTTTCCCATCTCAGCAGCCTCCTTCTCAAACTTTTTAGTGATTTGTCTGTTGATCCCACCACATTTGGACATCAGATGATCAGTAGTGATGGATTTGCTGGAATCTACGTGTCCAATGGCCACAATGTGGTTAGTGTTAATGTGAGTCTTTTCCTTTCCAATGCTGGCTTCCAGTTAGCTGTGGTTTTCACAACACTTGCATTCTGACAGCAAATCCATTGTGGAAAAAGGAATGCAAGTGTTTTTAATCAATAAAATAGTATTTAACTAAAATTTAAAAGGAACAAGAACAGATCCCAAATAGCAAAAAAAAAAGTACATTAATGTTAATCAAATAATGCAAGAATTCTTTTTTATGTATGTTGTTTTTTAAAAAAAAGTTTTATTAGCATTGTTTTCTTTAAAAAAATATGATTACATTGAAAAACTGTATAGGTTGGAGAATTTGGAAAGGGAATGGCAAACTCACATGATCGCAACAGTGAAAAACCTCACATTACTCTTGAAGCTTGGTAATATAGTTTTGTCAGTAAACAATATTCAAAAATTATCATAGACATAGAGAATTTCAAATTTATATCCTATAATTACATATTTTAAGTTTGAGGATTGTGTCAGTTTTATTATTACAGTACTTTCTATTTTTTTAACTTCCTAAACTGTAATTTTATCTCTAGAAGTTCAATTAAGGCATAGGTGAAGGTATACTGGGGCTGTAGAAGAGTCATAAAAACATGGAACACATCACAAATCTGTGTGTTATCCTTGCACAGGGGTCATGTTAATTTTTGCTGTATTGTTACAATTTTAGTACATGTGCTGTCAAAGTGAGACTAATACGAGAATTCTTAAGATATCATTTTCTCCGGCCACTGAGTGAAGTTTTCAAAGTTAAATTTTCTTTTTGATTCAGTACTGCACATTGTTATACACAATCAATGGACATAAACCAGTATAACTTTTTGTTAGTTTGGCTTGCGGGTTATTTGAGACAGGATCTCCCTATATAGCCTAGCACTCTTTTCTTTTAATAATTTATTGAGAATTTCATACAGGCATATAAGGTGTTTTGATCAAATCCATGCCCACTCCCTCCCCTCCAACTCCTCCCATATCTCCCCACCACCACTTTTTCCTGATAACTTCATGTACTCTTTCTTCTTTTTTTTGCGGGGTGGGGCTGTTTGCTACTATAACATTCCCTCCTCTGAAGTGGTACCCCTAAAATCTTTCAAAAATTAGATGAGAACTCCCAAATACTTTTGACATTTTTGGCATTTGGAATGGAGTATGTTGCTAAAAGGCCCAAGGACATTTTGACTTTTAGCCAAGAAACTGGTTACTTTTCTTTGGGGTCTTTTTACCCTAACTGCCTAGCCAGTTCCTA